AATCATATCTAAATGTCCAAACCATAATAACAATCTCCTCCAAACCCGAAAACGACAGTTCCTCCCCCTACGCTCCTAATTGGAATCAACCATGGTAATTGAATTTTGCACTTGTTTGGAATAAAATACAAAAAAAAAAAAAAGACTTAATGGTTCTAACAAAAATTTAATAGGACTTAATAACCCTTTTTTAGATAAAAAAAAAATTATCAGAATTAATTTATTTTCGCGTAATGACAGGCGCTATTTATTGAGAGTGGGGGCAAATAACTCAAATTTCGTGGGGTTGTTTGGTAGGGGGTATGAGAGGGTCTTGACGAGATGCGTTTAAGAAAAATAGTTTAAAACTCTACCAAATCTCATGTTTGTATGAAAATTCAGTTCCGAGTTTCCAAACCCGACTTGTAGTTAGCTTGAAAATTAAACTCATAATTATGAGTTTTATTAAACCTAGAGGAATCGTGGGTTTGGGAAGAAGGGCAAATGACTAAAGATCTAAAAGATAATTGTATCCCTTAATATGAGTATGAATTAGATTAATCAATAGTAAAATAGTCATTTATAAGACAAATAGTTATTAATAATTATGATATATCCGTGAGTCTTATATGTGTATGTGTTGCAAATCAAGCATGAGTATGAACCGAATTGAATGTTGAATCCCTTCTTTTCAAAAGTGGGTTTGAGTTTAGAAGGATTTGGAGAAGTCAATCTAAACTCCTCTCCAAAATTCTTTCAAACAAGTCTCATAAGTTCTTTCAGTTGTAACAAAACAAGTTATAAAATCAAATGTTGGAAATTTAAATTTTGGTAATTTTTTAGAATTAAACTATTATAGAATTTTCTGACATGAAGATAAGTTTTTGATATAATTGAAAAAAGTATTAATCGATATGCATATATTGACTGGCTAAACAAAAGATGAATTTCTTTCGGCAGGTATTTCAAACTCAATCAACTAAAGTGCACAACACACTACTTTTTAGCATAAAACAACACATTGATCAAATCAAATGAATCAAAATTTAGAGGACGAAATAGACTCCGTTGAATTCAGTATTCACACCACCAAATTTAAATCTGAACCAGCAAACCTAACCCCGATTCTCTCTCTCTCTCAGATCAGATTCACATAATCTGATAGACATAATCAGTACGGATAGGAAATTTTTGGGGAAGAGAAAAACCAGCAGATTTTGATCTGTTTCTCCCCAACCCCCAACCTGACGTTTTATCATCTCTTTTCAACCAGACCCAGGGAAAATCTAGATCTCCATAAACCCATCTGTTCTTGCAAATTCCTGTATCTAACAAACCGTCCCAACTAACCCAAAAGATTTAGTTGGGATCTTCGCCAACCCACCGACACATATGCTTTTTTGTATCTGAAAATCCCCAAAACACAGACCCTTTTATCCAATTCTTCGTGTTATAGTCATTCCATGTTCCAAAAACTATATAAGCACACACAAATCCGTCATGGGGACTGAGAAGAAATGGCTCTTCACACTCTTCTCTGCCACATTTATCTCCTTTTTGTTTTTTCTTTCCTCAATTTCAGGTTTTAGTGCCTCGTACTATTCTTTCACTTCCCACAAACCCTACACTTCAACCGTCCGGCATGGAACTGGGTATCCCCCGGCGTTTGCATATTACATTTCCGGTGGTCACGGCGATAGTGACCGCATGTTTAGATTGTTGCTCTCAATTTATCATCCGAGGAATCGGTATTTGTTGCACATTGGGGCGGATGGGTCGGACGATGAGAGAGCGAAGCTGGCCGGTTTGATTAAGTCGGTGCCGGCGATTAGGACATTTGGGAATGTGGATGTGGTAGGCAGACCTGATCCGGTGACCTACATGGGGTCTACAAATATCGCCGCCGTGTTGAGGGCGGCTGCCATCTTGTTAAAGGTGGATAGTGGGTGGGATTGGTTTATAACATTGAGTGCATTGGATTATCCATTGATTACCCAAGATGGTATATTATCTCCTAATTTCTCTTAGGTGAATCAAATTGAAGTTTAGTACTGCATTAATTTATTGGCATGTATTTACTGATACGTTCAAATAAGATTGTGCAGTTTTTTCAGTTAAGTTTAGTTGTAATTTTTGGAGGTATTTATATTTTCGTTGTATGAGGAAATGGTTATACTTTCTGCTAGACACTTGTGTTGGTTCTGATCAAAATGTAGAGAAACTAGTGCAGATGTTGGGTTGAAATCTTGCACCTGATATAAACTGACACCGGTTTCACTGGGGATCTGTTCTCTCCACTTAGATAATATATCTCCTTCAGTATTTTAATGTCATGAAATTTCACATGCTGCCATTGGTATTGCTTTGCATAATAGTCCCTTTGAGATTTCATAGATTCTTATCTACTTAAAGAGTGTCACAAATTCTTAAGATTCATTTCATTGGTCATTTTTCTACTTGACCTATGCTGATTACTCCTTTTGCTTTTGTTATCTGCTTTCAGACTTGTCCCATGTGTTCTCTTCTGTTAGAAGAGACCTCAGTTTCATTGATCACACCAGTGACCTTGGATGGAAAGAGTAGGCTAACCCTCGCTGTTTTTGTCAGTAAATTTTTAGTACGTAAGCCTACTGTTTGAGTTATACTATTTTTCATTTGATGTTGTTGCAGGGGTCAAAGAGTCCAGNCCTCGCTGTTTTGGTCAGTAAATTTTTAGTACGTAAGCCTACTGTTTGAGTTATACTATTTTTCATTTGNCGCTGTTTTTGTCAGTAAATTTTTAGTACGTAAGCCTACTGTTTGAGTTATACTATTTTTCATTTGATGTTGTTGCAGGGGTCAAAGAGTCCAGCCAATTGCTGTTGATCCAGGGATTTACTTGGCTAGGAGGACCCAAATCTTTTATGCCACAGAAAAGCGGCCGATGCCTGANTGATGTTGTTGCAGGGGTCAAAGAGTCCAGCCAATTGCTGTTGATCCAGGGATTTACTTGGCTAGGAGGACCCAAATCTTTTATGCCACAGAAAAGCGGCCGATGCCTGATGCTTTCAAAGTTTTTACAGGCAAAGTTTCTTATCTATATTTCAATAGTTGTACAACTTATGCAATGCTGGTTATGCATAAAAAAAGTCAGTAACAGATGATCCTTTTTTTTTTTTTAATGTATTCTTCAGGTTCTCCATGGGTTGTCTTGAGCCGATCCTTTCTTGAATTTTGTGTTTTCGGTTGGGATAACCTTCCCCGAACTCTTTTAATGTACTCCACTAATGTAGTTTTGTCCCAAGAATTCTATTTCCATTCTGTAATTTGCAATTCACCAGAGTTCAAGAACACAACTGTTAATAGTGATTTGAGATATATGGTCTGGGACGACCCTCCCAAGATGGAGCCCCTCTTCCTAAACCAGTCAGATTATGAGCTAATGGCTCAAAGTGGAGCTGCTTTTGCAAGACAGTTTGCAATAAATAACCTGGCGCTGGATATGATTGATGAGAAGATCCTGAAGCGAGGCCATAACCTAGCTACCCCAGGGGCATGGTGCGCTGGCCGAAAGAGCTGGCTGACGGATCCATGCTCGCAATGGTGTGATGTCAATGCTTTGAAGCCAGGGCCTCAAGTGAAGAAGTTTGAAGAGTCTATGAACAAACTTATCTCCGACTGGAACTCACAGTCGAACCAGTGCAGGTGATGACATTCTAATTAAACAAAGAATGTTTTAAGAATCGGCTTGTGTTCTACTGCATCTGATTATTGGCCAATTTGAATACCATTGGTTGAGATGCATTCTTTTATCTTCTACACATTCTTTTGGGGAGGTTCTTCTTGGTACGGGCTGCTCCAGTGTTAATAGTGAGGGTCTGAAATGGAGGTGCGAGATAAATTCTTTCCTTGGGCTGTGTTAGAGCAAGAGCAGTCTTCAATGAATATGACGAACTTCCCTGTGTACGTCATCTACATAATATTATGTATTCTATTTCACATTTATTGGCTTTCCTTTGATACTTNAATAGTTTAAAACTCTACCAAATCTCATGTTTGTATGAAAATTCAGTTCCGAGTTTCCAAACCCGACTTGTAGTTAGCTTGAAAATTAAACCCATAATTATGAGTTTTATTAAACCTAGAGGAATGGTGGGTTTGAGAAGAAAGGCAAATGACTAAAGATCTAAAAGATAATTGTATCCCTTAATATGAGTATGAATTAGATTAATCAAGAGTAAAATAGTCATTTATAAGACAAATAGTTATTAATAATTATGATATATTCGTGAGTCTTATATGTGTATGTGTTGCAAATCAAGCATGAGTATGAACCGGATTGAATGTTGAATCCCTTCTTTCCAAAAGTGGGTTTGAGTTTAGAAGGGNATGTGTTGCAAATCAAGCATGAGTATGAACCGGATTGAATGTTGAATCCCTTCTTTCCAAAAGTGGGTTTGAGTTTAGAAGGATTTGGAGAAGTCAATCTAAACTCCTCTCCAAAATTCTTTCAAACAAGTCTCATAAGTTCTTTCAGTTGTAACAAAACAAGTTATAAAATCAAATGTTCGAAATTTAAATTTTGGTAATTTTTTAGAACTAAACTATTATAGAATTTTCTGACGTGAAGATAAGTTTTTGATATAATTGAAAAAAGTATTAATCGATATGCATAAATTGACTGGCTAAACAAAAGATGAATTTCTTTCGGCAGGTATTTCAAACTCAATCAACTAAAGTGCACAACACACTACTTTTTAGCATAAAACAACACATTGATCAAATCAAATGAATCAAAATTTTGAGGACGAAATAGACTCCGTTGAATTCAGTATTCACACCACCAAATTTAAATCTGAACCAGCAAACCTAACCCCGATTCTCTCTCTCTCTCTCTCTCTCAGATCAGATTCACATAATCTGATAGACATAATCAGTACGGATAGGAAATTTTTGGGGAAGAGAAAAACCAGCAGATTTTGATCTGTTTCTCCCCAACCCCCAACCTGACGTTTTATCATCTCTTTTCAACCAGACCCAGGGAAAATCTAGATCTCCATAAACCCATCTGTTCTTGCAAATTCCTGTATCTAACAAACCGTCCCAACTAACCCAAAAGATTTAGTTGGGATCTTCGCCAACCCACCGACACATATGCTTTTTTGTATCTGAAAATCCCCAAAACACAGACCCTTTTATCCAATTCTTCGTGTTATAGTCATTCCATGTTCCAAAAACTATATAAGCACACACAAATCCGTCATGGGGACTGAGAAGAAATGGCTCTTCACACTCTTCTCTGCCACATTTATCTCCTTTTTGTTTTTTCTTTCCTCAATTTCAGGTTTTAGTGCCTCGTACTATTCTTTCACTTCCCACAAACCCTACACTTCAACCGTCCGGCATGGAACTGGGTATCCCCCGGCGTTTGCATATTACATTTCCGGTGGTCACGGCGATAGTGACCGCATGTTTAGATTGTTGCTCTCAATTTATCATCCGAGGAATCGGTATTTGTTGCACATTGGGGCGGATGGGTCGGACGATGAGAGAGCGAAGCTGGCCGGTTTGATTAAGTCGGTGCCGGCGATTAGGACATTTGGGAATGTGGATGTGGTAGGCAGACCTGATCCGGTGACCTACATGGGGTCTACAAATATCGCCGCCGTGTTGAGGGCGGCTGCCATCTTGTTAAAGGTGGATAGTGGGTGGGATTGGTTTATAACATTGAGTGCATTGGATTATCCATTGATTACCCAAGATGGTATATTATCTCCTAATTTCTCTTAGGTGAATCAAATTGAAGTTTAGTACTGCATTAATTTATTGGCATGTATTTACTGATACGTTCAAATAAGATTGTGCAGTTTTTTCAATTAAGTTTAGTTGTAATTTTTGGAGGTATTTATATTTTCGTTGTATGAGGAAATGGTTATACTTTCTGCTAGACACTTGTGTTGGTTCTGATCAAAATGTAGAGAAACTAGTGCAGATGTTGGGTTGAAATCTTGCACCTGATATAAACTGACACCGGTTTCACTGGGGATCTGTTCTCTCCACTTAGATAATATATCTCCTTCAGTATTTTAATGTCATGAAATTTCACATGCTGCCATTGGTATTGCTTTGCATAATAGTCCCTTTGAGATTTCATAGATTCTTATCTACTTAAAGAGTGTCACAAATTCTTAAGATTCATTTCATTGGTCATTTTTCTACTTGACCTATGCTGATTACTCCTTTTGCTTTTGTTATCTGCTTTCAGACTTGTCCCATGTGTTCTCTTCTGTTAGAAGAGACCTCAGTTTCATTGATCACACCAGTGACCTTGGATGGAAAGAGTAGGCTAACCCTCGCTGTTTTTGTCAGTAAATTTTTAGTACGTAAGCCTACTGTTTGAGTTATACTATTTTTCATTTGATGTTGTTGCAGGGGTCAAAGAGTCCAGCCAATTGCTGTTGATCCAGGGATTTACTTGGCTAGGAGGACCCAAATCTTTTATGCCACAGAAAAGCGGCCGATGCCTGATGCTTTCAAAGTTTTTACAGGCAAAGTTTCTTATCTATATTTCAATAGTTGTACAACTTATGCAATGCTGGTTATGCATAAAAAAAGTCAGTAACAGATGATCCTTTTTTTTTTTTTAATGTATTCTTCAGGTTCTCCATGGGTTGTCTTGAGCCGATCCTTTCTTGAATTTTGTGTTTTCGGTTGGGATAACCTTCCCCGAACTCTTTTAATGTACTCCACTAATGTAGTTTTGTCCCAAGAATTCTATTTCCATTCTGTAATTTGCAATTCACCAGAGTTCAAGAACACAACTGTTAATAGTGATTTGAGATATATGGTCTGGGACGACCCTCCCAAGATGGAGCCCCTCTTCCTAAACCAGTCAGATTATGAGCTAATGGCTCAAAGTGGAGCTGCTTTTGCAAGACAGTTTGCAATAAATAACCTGGCGCTGGATATGATTGATGAGAAGATCCTGAAGCGAGGCCATAACCTAGCTACCCCAGGGGCATGGTGCGCTGGCCGAAAGAGCTGGCTGACGGATCCATGCTCGCAATGGTGTGATGTCAATGCTTTGAAGCCAGGGCCTCAAGTGAAGAAGTTTGAAGAGTCTATGAACAAACTTATCTCCGACTGGAACTCACAGTCGAACCAGTGCAGGTGATGACATTCTAATTAAACAAAGAATGTTTTAAGAATCGGCTTGTGTTCTACTGCATCTGATTATTGGCCAATTTGAATACCATTGGTTGAGATGCATTCTTTTATCTTCTACACATTCTTTTGGGGAGGTTCTTCTTGGTACGGGCTGCTCCAGTGTTAATAGTGAGGGTCTGAAATGGAGGTGCGAGATAAATTCTTTCCTTGGGCTGTGTTAGAGCAAGAGCAGTCTTCAATGAATATGACGAACTTCCCTGTGTACGTCATCTACATAATATTATGTATTCTATTTCACATTTATTGGCTTTCCTTTGATACTTTTTTCCATGTTAAGGAACAAGTTTATTTTTGATACTTCTAATCTGTTTGTTATTTAGCTTGGGAAGGATTATCTTATGCAGTTTATCTCTTCGTGTGGAGAGACTGTTTTTGTAACTCGTTTACTCTTATTGCTACATCTGGGATTTGGAAATATAAGATATTACGCTCAAGAGCGATAGTTTTCTAACAGATGGAAAGCAATTTTACCCAGTGATTGCTTCATTTTTGTGTATTAGTTCCCTTTATCTATGAGATTTGTGCTAGGTTTACCATTGGCCACATAGCATTACAGCATGAAGCAAATCAATGTCTGTTTGCAGGCAGGGTTTTGTTACTGTATAATCGTAGGTTTCCATGCACATGTTCGAGTGTGTGGGAAGGAAAGAGAAGGGAAGAGGAAACAGAAAAGGAGAAGATTTGTGTTGTCTCTTCTCTCTCCCCATGCAAAACCAAAGAAAGAAAAGAAAGAAGCGAGAAACTTTCCTACATTTTAACTTTCTCCTTGCCAATCATGGTGTAAAATATTTCAAGTATTTTGCTTCATATTTGTCTAGATCAAGCTTTGTATTCGAAAATCAGGCAACAAGTTACATTGGAGCAACGTTTTGTTTATGTTTTTTTTTTGGACGCGGTAAGTTATCACAATTAAATTATTTTTTTGGACAAAGACGACCATAGTAAATGGCAGGCTTGGGAAAGATAATGGTATTGTATCAAAAATTATAAATTTTTTAGTGTTAAAGATATATATATTTTTTTGAGGTATAAATTATAATTTTAAAGGGCATAAATAATTATGAAAGATTGAGATTAATACTTAAACTTTTATAATTTATAATGGGTGTCTCTAATCGATGATAACATTCCTTCGGTAATTCTAATTTCTCCATTCAACTTTGTAACTTTACTCACTAAAAAATAGCAACCGGGTACCGTAAGAATTTCCCTCCAGACTTGCAGCGAGAACAAATTGAAAATAGATGTTTGGACACGACCACTTCGCCGCCCGCCAGAGCAAACCGGCAAGACACTCAATATAGTCACTCACTCACTCTCAAGTCTCACCTAATACTAACACAGTGCTCACTTGAATCTAGTCGCCGCTTGAGATGGGTCTCCCTCAATTAAATCGCTTATCGAGAACACTCGAAAAGCGCAATCTTTCCAGTCAGAAAACTAACCATTTTCCTCTTCAATCCCTTGTTCTTCCTTCCACGTCCACTGTAGAAATTTGCTATCTGATACCCATCCAAGATCAAAATCCCATTCACAACTTAGTGACCCCCGTTCAAAGTTTCACTGGGTTCCTTCCAAATCATTATGGCAATGCGTCTTTTCTTATGGATTGTAGAAATTTTAGCTTTTACAGATCGATCCATGCTGGTTCAATGCATGCCCAATTTGTTATTGATCCCAATAACCAAAATCCAGATTTAGAAACCGTCCGAATTGCCCAAAATGCAGGGAAACTCTGCAAGATTCTCTCAAATCATCGCAATTCTACGAGTATAGAATCTGCCCTGAACTCTGCTAGAGTTGAGGTATCCCCCACTCTGGTTGTGGAGGTTTTGAAGAAGCTCAGCAACGCCGGCGTTCTCGCTTTATTGTTCTTCCGGTGGGCCGAGAAGCAAAAAGGGTTCAAGTACACTTCTGAGGGCTACAATGCATTGATTGAAGCTCTTGGGAAAATTAAACAGTTCAAGATGATATGGAATTTAGTGACTGACATGAAACAAAAAGGCATGTTGAACAAAGAAACTTTTGCGTTGATTTCACGGAGATACGCGAGAGCAAGGAAGATTAAAGAAGCCATAGAGGCATTTGAGAGGATGGAGAGTTTTGGGCTGAAGCCGGAATTGTCAGATTATAACCGATTGATTGATACTTTGAGTAAGTCCAGACACATTGCGAGGGCACAACAGGTGTTTGATAAATGGAAGAACAGAAAACTTAAGCCCGATATCAAGTCGTATACAATACTCTTGGAAGGTTGGGGTCAAGAACATAATTTGCTGAGATTGAATGAGGTTTATCGTGAGATGAAGGACGATGGGTTTGAGCCGGATGTTGTAACTTATGGAATTGTGATCAATGCTTATTGTAAAGCTAAGAAGTACGATGAAGCAGCTGAATTATTTCATGAAATGGAAGGAAAATGTATCAAGCCAAGTCCACACATATATTGTATTTTGATCAATGGTTTGGGTTCTGAGAAGAGGTTGACTGAAGCTCTTAAGTTTTTTGAGTTATCCAAGGCTAGTGGTGATACTCTTGAGACTCCCACTTATAACGCGGTTGTGGGGTCTTATTGCTGGTCTATGCGAATGTATGATGCGTATAGAGTGGTTGATGAGATGAGGAAATGTGGGGTTGGTCCTAATTCGCGAACATATGATATAATTCTTCATCATCTTATAAAGGCGAGGAGAGCTAAAGAGGCATACTCTGTTTTCCAGAGAATGAGCAATGAACCGGGCTGTGAACCAACTGTAAGTACTTATGAGATAATGGTGAGGATGTTCTGCAATGAGGAGAGGATGGATATGGCAGTGAAGGTTTGGGATCAGATGAAGACTAAGGGAGTTCTTCCTGGAATGCATATGTTCTCGACGTTGATTAACAGCTTTTGCCATGAGAATAAGTTGGATGATGCTTGCAAATTTTTCCAAGAGATGCTGGATACGGGTATTAGGCCTCCGGCTCCAATGTTTAGTAATCTGAAGCAAGCTCTTCTTGATGATGGGAAGGAGGATACTGCTATTATTTTGAGTGAAAAACTTGAGAAACTAAGGAGAACTCCATTAGTTGGTTGAGGGCTGTAGAAGATATGCTGGCTGTTGAATTATAGTGACTGTTCAGGAAAATTTATCTCCCAACTTTACACATTATTGGCCCCTGATAATAGAAGTTTGATCCATTCTATTATTTCTACCTCACATTTTACATTAGTATCTTTCAAGTTTCAAGGAAAAATACAAAAGTTAGGTGCTCATACTTGAAACCACAGGTTCACCTAATAACGAGGACCTTGTACCCCACTTGTAAGGTTTCGGGATCGAGGCTTATCCCAAGCAAATGTTCTTTTTCCTCCAAATTGTGGACATACTTGGGTTTTGACACCTGAAGCATGGGAAGTTTTGATTTGCCATGATTTCGGGAAGTCTCTCTTGCATAAATTGGGAGAAAGGAGAAGAAAGATTTTTCAATTCAAGCAATATAGAATAGAGTTGACCGTTGGATGGAATCCCTGTAATGTTGTTTTGGATCCAACAGAGTTGCGTTTTGGATCCAACTCATTTGTGCAAATTCTGGATGCCTGCAAAGCATATGCTTGCAAGGATTGAATTTGAGAGCTCGAGATACTGACTTGACTTACCTCATAAACAACAGCAGCAGCCACAACAATGTGAATCGGATCACATTGTTACTGTTGTTATCAGCAACAAATCAGCCATTAGCAACCTAACTGGCTTTGGACTTGCCTCCCACACAAGGTGATCCTCTTCCTAGGAAAAGGGTTGAAGTAATCATGCCTCAGTTGAATCGTATGATTATGTATGCTTACCTCTAATTGTTTTAGACAATCCAAGTGATAAAACTGTCCAGTCCAGTTTGTTCAATCCAAATCTGAATTTCAGTACAACCATTGCAACTGTATCGGTTACGATTTTAAGTTTATGGTATAAAACAGTAAAGTTCATAGTAGAATAGAGTTACTCATAAAAATTACAATTTATAATATAATATCTAATGTACAGAGCTAAAATAGTATGAATTTACACACAGAACTTATTTCGTTTACCCACAAACACAAACCATCTCAAATCAATCACCGCAAGGTCACAACACTTTAAGAAGGGCATGTACCAACATATCAAAATTGATGTATACTTTCCTAAGAATAATATATTAACTCTCTGCCTCAATCACCGTGAACAAATAGTGATTGATTCTTCTTAAGGCAACAACCATACTACGAGTGTTAGGAAACCTTCAAATGTCTCCATTCAAGGTAAGAAATTCATTTAACTCTTCTACGATACCCGATCAACTGCAACCCACGTTAATCAAGGCTAAAATTTATATTAGGTTACTATTCTTTTTCTAAAGAGTATTAGAAATTTTGTTCAACTAAATACTTTAAATTAAATTGAGATCGAGTTTGGATTAACAACCAGCTTTCACCCTAGTGTATATTTATAAGGGATCTAATTATGGCACCGAAAAATAAGTTTTTGATTTTTGGTACTATACTTTCGTTTTTTATCTAATAAAAACAAGACACATGTAAATTTTTTTTTTTTTTATGTTATTTTACTTTATTATTTTAACAATCAATTGCCATAAATATATCAAATAAAGATTTAGGATTCCTAATTTATTTTAGTATTCACATATCTATACACTATAGTTACTTTGGACTATGAAATTGTTGATTTTTGTAGTGAAAAGAACAAAAATAAAGATAATTACTTTGTTGCTTTTGATATTTTCAAACCCCCACCAAATAAATAAAGATAATTACTAATAGCGGTTGGCCCATCTAGGACTGGTCCATGATATATGCATACATGTAGCCTAAGGTCGGCTCGACCCGGGTAGTAAAGTATAGAGAATCTTATAGCCTAACGTTGGCCAAACCCTAGTGTTGTGTCCAGCCCATGCCCACCCCTGGTTTGTTTTGTCTATGGGTGTCTATGGGCTGGGCGGTTTTTGCAAAGAAGTCGTTGAAAATGACAAAGCCAATGTGTTAAAAGTTGGAACAAAGGGACAATTGGCAAATTGGTATTGTTATTACTGGATAAGAGAGAGATCTCTTTGTGTTAATGGCTTTGACACACACGCAGACATGACCACAAAATGATGCACTAACACTAACCTGTAGTGGTCCTTTTTCTTAATCCCATATGATATTGAGAGAGAGAGAGAGAGCATGCGGATTAGAGAGAGAGCATGCGCATGGGTCACATTTTGGTGCTGACAAAAAATGTTCATATGGTACAAAAAACTAGTTATTTGTACATTACAAATAATAAAATAAATTATAAAAAATATTCACAAGTCATCTCATAATTGGATAAAAAAAAAAAGGTATGAAAAGAAGTGTAATTTAAAAGAGGAAAAGTAGACTATGGTGCCAAAAAAAAAAAAAAATTTCTGTAGTGTATCAGCAAG